AAAGAAAGTTAGTTAAGTGAACCTTACTTGGAGATACCAAGCTGTAACATTCCAGGGATGGAAAGTCCGGACAAGTAAGTGGATCCATCTTACTGTGGACCCTGGGCCATCTCAGGTGTAAATTGGGATCCAGGTCTTGATTGGGGAGCTGGAGTGCCCTTTGTCATGGGAGTGGAGCGCTTAAAGAAACAGTGTGGAGTGGCTGTGGTATAAGGTCCACTGGTGGTATGCTTCGGAGTGTGAGGAGATGCCATTTGGGTCCACAGAAGGGGCCAAGTTCAGATCAACAAAAAGCTTTTTCAGGTGTTCTGGAGAAGAGCTGACATACTGTTTTCCATTATGGGTAAATTTAAGAGTAAAAGGAAAAGCCCAAAAATAACGTATTTGATGTTGAAAAAGGATTTGAACTTGTGGCTTCATTACTCTGAACTTTGATATTGTGAGAGGCGCCAGATCAGAAAAGACTTGATAGTCATGGCCCTGGAAGTTTGGGGATTTCTAATTGTGTGCTGCAGTCCACAGTTGGTCTTTGGTGTGATAGAAGTGAAATTTCACTATAATATCCCTGGGAGGATCATCTGGCTGTTGCTTAGAGCACGGTGCACTCTGTAAATCTCCAGTCATTAAATGGGGATTTCAGGGATAGGCTCTTGGAATAAGGGCATAATGGTAGATTGTAGGTCTACAATTGTTTCAGGCAACACCCTCATTCTCAGGTTAGAACAGCATGTGTGATTTTCAGTGTCTTCCAGATGAAAAAGTAACATTTTGTTTTCCTCTTTTAGGGACTCTATAGCCTCAGCATGGTCATGGTAGTTTAATTCCATGTCATTCATACAGGTTTCTAAGTCAGCCGTTCTCTGCCCCAGCTCCCTGATTTCATGTGACAGTCAGTCAGTGTGACAGTCAGTCGGTGATATGCTTTGATGTGGAATGCAGAGCAGTTTGAAACATGTTCTCAATTTGTTTAAAAAAGTCCTTTTGGGATAGCGAGGATAGTGGTAAATCAATGGTAGTTCTCACTTGTGAGCTAGTATCATCATCGTCTGTTGTTTCAGTGGCTGCATGAGGTTGCATTCTGGTTGGAGATGGCTGGAGAGAAGAAGCAGTCATCATATTGGAAGTAGCCCACTCCAGGGCCTCACAAATTGTCACCGGCTTTGGCTTGTGTTTGGAGCCCATGGACACAATGGCAGTAGTCCCCACAGGGTCAGCAATCGGGTCGCTGCTGGGAGGGTGAGTTTCTGGTCAGGGTGCTGCTGTGCCTCACAAAATCCCTGGTGCAGTGCGGAGCTCTAGCATGGTTTGTCTGCTTGGCTGGGCTTTGCGCATGGGCCCCCCTAACTGAGATAGTTCACAGATACAAAATGTCATACTACAAATATGTCCAAACCCCTTTTAAATAACAGGAGCTGAGTGTATACAGTGTATACGTTGTGAAAACATGAATTATGAATCGTGACAATTGATATATTATGGACAAATTAAGTAAAGCAAGAGGCCTAATTTTAAAATCTGTAAAACAGAAAAATTAACAATAAATATTTACAGTAGGCCAGCATCCTTTTTATAACCACTGGCCCCCTTGCCTGTAGAACCCATGTTAATCATGTGCAGTGCTACCATCCACACTTTACCACTGTTTATTAAATAGGTTCTGATCCGTCCTGCAGTTGCTCTGTCATTACCAGTGCCTCAGAAAACAGGAAGATATGATAGCATTGTGTGTTTTATTCAGCATGCAGAGCTGCATGTACATATGTGTTTTTTTTTTGTTTTTTGGAGGGTAGGGGGAGGTCCAATTTAATATCAGAACGACATGACCAAACTTGAATTATCAAAGCATTTTTCATGATGCAATGTCTCCATTTAAATTATATAATGCAATTCTAACAAAACAAAAAGTAAGTAATTGTAGCTCACTGTAGCATAATCAACAAATTATATCCAGACAACAGCAACTAAAATGTAGTTCTGATTACATTGTGTAGTAATTAAAAGGATGTATGTGCTAGTTTCTAATGAATCCATCCTGTACTATGATTTTATAACTATCAATATGATCACATACTATTAATATTTTAGATGCTTTTTTTTTCTTTGTAACAAAGAAACATTTTTTTTTCCTGCTAATTATACATACAGAAAAACAAACCAGCTGCTATTTTTTTTATCAGCCATTTGTGCTGTTTCTTGGTAGTTAGTGGATCTAAAATGCAGTTATCTAGATGCATCAGGGCTACATTTAATTTAGTTTGTTCTTTTTTTCCCCTAAATGGTGAGGTCACTGATACATTCCTTGTCCCTTTCAATTATACGATATAATATATGTAATGCCTGAATATCACCAGCAGAGGTGAAAATGTACTGAACATATTTTAATGTTTACAAATATCTGGGTTGGCTCAGTTCTCCCTTTCAAATCCCTGCCCCCATTCATAATATAGCTTGCAAAATGATTTTGTTTTTGGGGGATGGGACACAGTCAAGTATAGTAAGTTATCACTAATAACGATTATTCTAGATTCTACTAACTACTATTTATTATATGAAATCTGAGCTTCTTTGATGTCATATACTACAAAGACCAATCTTCTGATAATAAGATTGGTCTTTGTATAATAGCAGATACTGTCATGTGAGGTATCCTGTCATTTGCCCTCCCTTTCTCCTCCCTTTGTCCATTCATTAAACACCTTGTATTCTTTTTAGAGAATGTAAAGCACTCTGTGAATGGACAAAGGACAATCCTGTCATTTATCCAATCCTCCTGTCTCCTTATCCATACACAGAATGTCTTGTGTTCTGTGAGAAGTCCACATGTCGGTTTGTGAATGAATAAGAGGAGAGGAAAGGGAATGTTCATAATAGGATCTTTCACTGTCACAAACTTTGGTCTCATTCCTGAAGTGCTAAAAGAAGATAACACTGTGTAGTATATGGCATCAAAAAAGCTTGACTTTTTGGAAACAATAGCAGACAGACTTCAGATATTCTTCATTAACAGCAACTGGGCTGTGTCAGAATTACTATATTTTTTGCTCCATAAGAGTGGAGTGACTATGGCATGGCCAGCCAGGTATTGGACATATTTGTCATACTACAAATATGTCCAAACCCCTTTTAAATAACAGGAGCTGAGTGTATACAGTGTATACGTTGTGTGAAAACATGAATTATGAATCGTGACAATTGATATATTATGGACAAATTAAGTAAACAAGAGGCCTAATTTTAAAATCTGTAAAACAGAAAAATTAACAATAAATATTTACAGTAGGCCAGCATCCTTTTTATAACCACTGGCCCCATTGCCTGTAGAACCCATGTTAATCATGTGCAGTGCTACCATCCACACTTTACCACTGTTTATTAAATAGGTTCTGATCCGTCCTGCAGTTGCTCTGTCATTACCAGTGCCTCAGAAAACCAGGAAGATATGATAGCATTGTGTGTTTTATTCAGCATGCAGAGCTGCATGTACATATGTGGTTTTTTTTGTTTTTTGGAGGGTAGGGGGAGGTCCAATTTAATATCAGAACGACATGACCAAACTTGAATTATCAAAGCATTTTTCATGATGCAATGTCTCCATTTAAATTATATAATGCAATTCTAACAAAACAAAAAGTAAGTAATTGTAGCTCACTGTAGCATAATCAACAAATTATATCCAGACAACAGCAACTAAAATGTAGTTCTGATTACATTGTGTAGTAATTAAAAGGATGTATGTGCTAGTTTCTAATGAATCCATCCTGTACTATGATTTTATAACTATCAATATGATCACATACTATTAATATTTTAGATGCTTTTTTTTTCTTTGTAACAAAGAAACATTTTTTTCCTGCTAATTATACATACAGAAAAACAAACCAGCTGCTATTTTTTTTATCAGCCATTTGTGCTGTTTCTTGGTAGTTAGTGGATCTAAAATGCAGTTATCTAGATGCATCAGGGCTACATTTAATTTAGTTTGTTCTTTTTTTCCCCTAAATGGTGAGGTCACTGATACATTCCTTGTCCCTTTCAATTATACGATATAATATATGTAATGCCTGAATATCACCAGCAGAGGTGAAAATGTACTGAACATATTTTAATGTTTACAAATATCTGGGTTGGCTCAGTTCTCCCTTTCAAATCCCTGCCCCCATTCATAATATAGCTTGCAAAATGATTTTGTTTTTGGGGGATGGGACACAGTCAAGTATAGTAAGTTATCACTAATAACGATTATTCTAGATTCTACTAACTACTATTTATTATATGAAATCTGAGCTTCTTTGATGTCATATACTACAAAGACCAATCTTCTGATAATAAGATTGGTCTTTGTATAATAGCAGATACTGTCATGTGAGGTATCCTGTCATTTGCCCTCCCTTTCTCCTCCCTTTGTCCATTCATTAAACACCTTGTATTCTTTTTAGAGAATGTAAAGCACTCTGTGAATGGACAAAGGACAATCCTGTCATTTATCCAATCCTCCTGTCTCCTTATCCATACACAGAATGTCTTGTGTTCTGTGAGAAGTCCACATGTCGGTTTGTGAATGAATAAGAGGAGAGGAAAGGGAATGTTCATAATAGGATCTTTCACTGTCACAAACTTTGGTCTCATTCCTGAAGTGCTAAAAGAAGATAACACTGTGTAGTATATGGCATCAAAAAAGCTTGACTTTTTGGAAACAATAGCAGACAGACTTCAGATATTCTTCATTAACAGCAACTTGGGCTGTGTCAGAATTACTATATTTTTGCTCCATAAGAGTGGAGTGACTATGGCATGGCCAGCCAGGTATTGCCCCCATCGCCGCCATGTTAGAATACCGGGTCAGCCGCTCAGCTCTTCTGTGCAGCAGAAACTGCTCCTCAGTCCTACCTGTTCCTAGGTCCAGCGGTGTCCTCATCACCTCAATATCTTTAGTGTGGGTACCTTGTGGCTTCACATCCGCGTGCTGTGCGAGAAGCACTGTGCTTTGTGAATGGTCCCTTAGTCTTTTGGGACCTGTCATGTGTCCCAGAAGACTACGGGGAGAGAGGCGATCACAGCGGAAGTGGGAGCGGGTAGATGTCAAATTCCCCAAAGGTCTGCAGTTTCTGGTCATCTCCTGTACTATAGCCACAGTCTCTGATCATCTCCTGTACTATGTCGACAGTCTCTGGTCATCTCCTGTACTCTGTCTGCAGTCTCTGGTCATCTCCTGTACTATGTCCGCAGTCTCTGGTCATCTCCTGTACTATGTCTGCAGTCTCTGGTCATCTCCTGTACTGTGTCTGCAGTCTCTGGTCATCTCCTGTACTATGTCCGCAGTCTCTGGTCATCTCCTGTACTATGTCCGCAGTCTCTGGTCATCTCCTGTACTATGTCCGCAGTCTCTGGTCATTCCTGTACTATGTCAGTCTCTGGTCATTCCCTGTCTCTGGTCATCTCCTGTACTATGTCCGCAGTCTCTGGTCATCTCCTGTACTCTGTCTGCAGTCTCTGGTCATCTCCTGTACTCTGTCTGCAGTCTCTGGTCATCTCCTGTACTATGTCTGCAGTCTCTGGTCATCTCCTGTAGTATGTCCGCAGTCTCTGGTCATCTCCTGTTGTATGTCAGCAGTTTCTGGTCATCTTCTGTACTATATCCACAGTCTCTGGTCATCTCCTGTACTGTGTCTGCAGTCTCTGGTCATCTCCTGTAGTATGTCCGCAGTCTCTGGTCATCTCCTGTACTGTGTCTCTGCAGTCTCTGGTAATCTCCTGTACTGTGTCTGCAGTCTCTGGTCATCTCCTCTACTATGTCTGCAGTCTCTCGTCATCTCCTGTTGTATGTCCGCAGGCTCTGGTCATCTCCTATACTATGTCCACAGTCTCTGGTCATCTCCTGTACATGTACAATGTCTGCAGTCTCTGGTCATCTCCTGTACTATGTCCACAGTCTCTGGTCATCTCCTGTACTATGTCTGCAGTCTCTGGTCATCTCCTGTACTATGTCTGCAGTCTCTGGTCTTCTCCTTTACATTGTCCGCAGTCTCTGGTTAGCTCCTGTACTATGTATGAAGTCTCTGGTCATCTCCTGTACTATGTCTGCAGTCTCTGGTCATCTCCTGTACTCTGTCTGCAGTCTCTGGTCATCGCCTGTACTATGTCCACAGTCTCCCGTCATCTCCTGTTGTATGTCAGCAGTTTCTGGTCATCTCCTGTACTATATCCACAGTATCTGATCATCTCCTGTACTGTGTCTGCAGTCTCTGGTCATCTCCTGTAGTATGTCCGCAGTCTTTGGTCATCTCCTGTACTGTGTCTGCAGTCTCTGGTCATCTCCTCTACTATGTCTGCAGTCTCTCGTCATCTCCTGTTGTATGTCCGCAGGCTCTGGTCATCTCCTATACTATGTCCACAGTCTCTGGTCATCTCCTGTACATGTACAATGTCTGCAGACTCTGGTCATCTCCTGTATTATGTCTGCAGTCTCTGATCATCTCCTGTAGTATGTCCGCAGTCTCTGGTCATCTCCTGTACATGTACAATGTCTGCAGTCTCTGGTCATCTCCTGTACTATGTCCGCAGTCTCTGGTCATCTCCTGTATTATGTCCGTAGTCTCTAGTCATCTCCTGTAGTACATCCGCAGTCTTTGGTCATCTCCTGTATTATGTCTGCAGTCTCTGGTCTTCTCCTGTACTATGTCTGCAGTCTCTGGTCATCTCCTGTACTGTGTCTGCAGTCTCTGGTCATCTCCTCTACTATGTCCGCAGTCTCTCGTCATCTCCTGTTGTATGTCCGCAGGCTCTGGTCATCTCCTATACTATGGTCTCTGGTCATCTCCTGTACATGTACAATGTCCGCAGTCTCTGGTCATCTCCTGTATTATGTCCGCAGTCTCTGGTCATCTCCTGTACATGTACAATGTCTGCAGTCTCTGGTCATCTCCTGTACTATATCCGCAGTCTCTGGTCATCTCCTGTATTATGTCCGTAGTCTCTAGTCATCTCCTGTAGTACATCCGCAGTCTTTGGTCATCTCCTGTACTATGTCTGCAGTCTCTGGTCTTCTCCTGTACTATGTCCGCGGTCTCTGGTCATCTCCTGTACTATGTATGCAGTCTCTGGTCATCTCCTGTACTGTCTGCAGTCTCTGGTCATCTCCTGTAGTATGTCCACAGTCTCCGGTCATCTCCTGTACTATGTCTGCAGTCTTTGGTCATCTCCTGTAGTATGTCCGCAGTCTCTGGTCATCTCCTGTACTATGTCTGCAGTCTCTGGTCATCTCCTGTACTATGTCTACAGTACTGGTCATCTCCTGTAGTATGTCCGCAGTCTCTGGTCATCTCCTGTACTATGTCTGCAGTCTCTGGTCATCTCCTGTACTGTCCGCAGTCTCTGGTCATCTCTTGTACTATGTCTGCAGTCTCTGGTCATCTCTTGTAGTACATCTGCAGTCTCTGGTCATCTCCTGTACTATGTCTGCAGTCTCTGGTCATCTCTTGTAGTACATCTACAGTCTCTGGTCATTTCCTGTACTATGTCTGCAGTCCATTGGTTCAGAATATTTTTTCTCTTGATTTCCTCCTCTAAAACCTAGGTGCGTCTTATGGTCAGGTGTGTCTTATGGACGAAAAAGGTATGTGACAATATAAAAACAGACTTAAAAGACTTACACAACACTTCCCAGCACAGCTTTTAGTAAACATATTTATCAGTTTAAAACAAACTTCTTAAAGAAACATTAAAGGCTCTTGCATTTCTGAAAGCAGTGCGGTACTAACGTGGTTTAGCAAACACAGCACTCGTGCTTAAGTCAGAAGAGTCACGCAGTTTACAGTACAGTTAACATGCCCTTGCAACCTATACGTATCTTCCATTCTCTCCCCTGCTACTATGTTTAGCCACCAGAAGGAAAAGAAAAAGCCCATACTTCTGGGTATTGTGGGTCATGTGACTCACTCCCATCCTTTCCATGTAACAATGCTGATGCTTAGCAACTGGCTGCTTAGGCATTCATTGTTGTTACATGAGGTGGGGAGGCAGCCCTTATCCCTGTGCAAGTTCCAAGTCATGGCTTGTTGCTTACACAGGGCTCCTTCATCTAACCCTGTGGCCAAAATAAATGAAGAGAAAATAAACAGAAGCTACTAAATGAGTAAGCATTAAACAGAACCTGTTTTTTTGGCCTGCATTATTATTAATATTCAGAATGTTACTTTAATAGTACTTTATAATATAAATGGAGACAGTACAGTTACAGTACAATTCAATACACAAGGGTTTGGAGGGCCATGTTCCTCAGAATTTACAATCCAATAGCAACAAATTAAAAAAAATAGTGCAGTCAGACAGAATCAATTAGAGTAATAAATAATCTCTTGTGAAAAACGTAATCAATAATAAAGCCCAGTGTTTGAATGAATTTGTAAAGTCCACAGTGAATGTAAATATTCTTCATGCATCCAATGTGTACCAATCATCAAAGGATAATAATGCAGCTTACCAGATACCTAGACCTCACATCTCAAGAGGTCTAAATATGCTTTTAAATGATGACAGATCCCATATGGATGGATGGCTCCAGCTCCCTTCCTCTCACAGCCAGCTAAGCCTCAACCCCTCTCTCACAGAAATGGCATGCCCCAAAACAATCACAGGATCACTTCCCATGTGATGCTCTCATCACCGCAAATACATAGCAAGGAAAGAGCAAGGATATCCCATAGAGAAACAATGTTTAAAACTGTTTATTAAAAAGGCAAGCAGCACTCACAAATAAAAAAAATATTAAGAGCATATCACATAGCACAGCTGAGTCTCCAAGCAGGCATGATGACGTTACCACTAAACTCCACCCTATGCACATTTCATCCGACGGGACATCTTCCAGGGGCAATACAATTCAATACAAGGAGGTTTGGAGGGCCATGTTCTACAGAATTTACAATCCAATAGCATTGACAAAGCACAAAGTACTATATTCTTAGTCCTCTGTAATCCACAGAAAAAACACTCACATGGATGGTCAATAGAAATGTGTTTTCTGAAGTCTGTTATGTGTATCTTCCACTTGCGTTTCTTCCTATATAAACATAACATTTAAACTTTGAGCAAAGGTTTGAATATGATTGGTAGCTGTGAGAAATGTCTTAGTACTTCAAGTTCACATCAAGCTGTGTGTGTGATGCAGTCAGGATGGTATATTTTAACAAGGGTGAGGAGAGGAATATTGTCTGTCAAAACGCCCTGGAGAAGGGGTGAAATGCGTTGACACATTTCCGACTTCGCCGTCCAACGTACCACGTCACTTCTGGTGAGTGGAACACACGCCGGCGTGCGGGGCTCTCAGGGGCCATCTTGCTAGAGGGTGGATTCTAACATGCTGTCATCTATCACTGACTGTGAGATCTTTGCCCTAGTGATGTGGCGTTTTTGCTCCAGATAAATAATAAATGCTGATTACATTCTTTTAAGATGTGAGTGGTTTTGTATTTGCATTCATCCTGTTTGAGTCTTTCAGTATTACACTATATACATTTTTTCTCTGTACCAATCATCTTCCTATGGTGAGTGATCTCTGGTGTTCCTGGAGGTTGGAGGCTGATTTAAACTATAGTTTGGAGTTCTGAGGCATATATCTTTACCTGCATTTGGGGATTTCCATCTTGACCTAGTGATTGGAGGCTGAGTTGAGGGGATCTAAGATTCCTGAGCCCATACATAAGGCATTTTTTTTCACCAATATCTGGTGAGTGCGGTATGTGATTTTAGCACAAACGGGTGTGAACACTGGTCAAGAGTCTTGGAATAAGGACTTTCAATTTCATTCTACTCACCATGTTCAATTTTTTGGCGTGGGACTATTTAACAATCATATATTTTTCTCTGTATGATTTTTTGTATTATTTATATTTTTTTGAGTTGTTTATTTATTTGCACTGTTTTTTATGTTTTTGTTATTTTATTAGTGTTGTCACTAAGGAGCAGCAGCATTTATTTGGGAATTATTTCAAAAATATTTTTTGGTGCTGGTGATTTTTTTGTATACATTTTAACAATGCCTGGATAAAACACTGAAACAACTCAGTAGTAGCCTATGTTCTTTGTATGCATCTCAAGGTTTCACTTTCTTTTTGAAAGGAGGGTACTTTAAAATAATCTTAATCCTTTTTATTCTACCAACAACTAAAATTTATCATTTGGGATTAACATTTAATCACTATTACATTTTTATTCACAGAATATAAAAAGTGAAATACAAAAAGTATACATTAAATTTCATATGCTTAGATAGCAGGTAATTGTTCTCTACAGCTGGCAATAGGATAGCCATGGTCTAACCTGTTACTGTGCCATTTCTAGTCATCATATACCTATATTTATAAATGAATTACATGTAAATAGTTTTTTTAAAAAATGCAAATCAATTAACATAGAGAGAGAACATATAATAATGCCTTGAAACAAAACAAACTCTTTGAGACTGAACAATATGCTCTCTGACTGCATGCTTTTATGTCTCTTAACACATCTTTTTAGTATTATTGACTTGGTCTTTATACTCATTAGTAGATAGCTTGGAAGGCAAGAAAGCACTAAATCTCTGAAATACCATTTACCCAATGAGCAGGACATTCATATTCATCTCATGCATATCAGTATCTTACAGTTGTGGCCAAAATTATTCAACCCCCACTGAAATTGAGTGTTTT